GGGCATTTTTAATCTGTAGCTCTGCTCTAAAAGAACGTACGTACCTGGCCCCGCCTACTATCCTGGGAAACGTAAAATGATTGGCTAGAAGTGTATCACAGCTCAGGAAAAAAAAGCACCGAAATAAAGCACCGAAATGTGCGCTGCTTTTTGGTCTGGTTACTACCGTTTATGTCAGAATCCGGACACCGGTACCCATCCCTAGGTAGGAGCAGCGGGTGCAGCCGTGCACCTCTTGCAGACATGGACACTTTGAAAACACACTTTAATATTTGTACTTTTTGGAAACGAAGCTCCAGAAACACGAGCTGTGAAACTCCTTCAGCTCTTTAGTCTGTGACGTTTTCGTGGCCGTAAATAATCCGAGTTCTTTATCGGCCCCAGTGCGTGGATCGTGATTAACCAGCGCGCTGTGATGTTGACATCAGCACAGAGAAAAGGTCAAACCAGCTGCTGCACGAGCTTTTTATTTTTAACCTCGTGCACGACAAACGATCCCGAGAAAATCAGACGCAGACTGAGCGACTCCACGCGTGTCTGCGGAGTGCTCCACATGAAATCACAATACTTGATTCATCCATCAACAGTCACGCACTGGATCACATTAAATAACACAAGAAATGACCAAGTTTACCAAACACTCCTCTTCGTGGCGTGTGTGTGGGAAGCAGATGAAGAGGATGAGAAAGAAAAAACTGGAAAGAGGAAATGAAAATAATAAAACGTTAAATGGTTCTTTGAAACAGATCCTGGTGATTTTAAACTTCAGGTAACTCAGAATTATTATGCTGTTGTTTATCTGATGCTCGTCTCTGTTGATTGGTTTGTGTATTCTTCTATCTGAAACAGGAAAGTGATTAAAACGATCGCTGCACCCAACTGTAAGCAGAGAGGGGTAAAAAGTCGTGACTCATGTGTAAGTTCCCTCTGGGCGTGACCTCTGCCCCTCATCACATCCAGCATGGCGGACACACTCTCGCATGGTCCAACAGGGAGAACCCTCACTGTAGGACACACACACACACACACACACACACACACACACACACACACTGTGGGTCTTAATGCCACTTAAGGCTGTTAGTGTTTCCTGTTGATGGTCAGCAATAACCTCTTCAGAAGCCATCCTTTTCCACTCTGCAGAGCTACACACACACACACACACACACATAATAAAATGTACACACTCTATGATTTCACAGCCTTTAACTGAACGAAGTCTCAGATGGAGGGACGGGGGGATCACGGGGACACCAACTGGGTCTTCATAAACCACCTCATTTGAACAGTGCAGGTGTGTCAGTGTGTGTGAGGTCACTGCAGGTCACACTGAGCCTCTGTGTGATGTGTGGACTCGTGTTTCTGGAGGAGCTCTTCTCCTCCTGTGGATCCTGGTCACACTGCCTCCAGACCCACCTGAGACCCACCCAACCTGATCCACACGAGCTCGTTTTCATTATGTTGCAAACCTGCACGCTACTTCTACCTGTCACTTTGCTGCTGGGTACCTGAACTCCCCTGATGAGGGACAGTAAAGGATATTTCTGAGCTGCTGTACTCACTCTCACCAAACTCCTGCATGAACTGAGCACAAACAGCTTCTCTCACAGACGTTTCTAATAAACGTGGCCTGGGGTCATCAGGTGGTCATCAGGTGGTTCTGAGAAACCATCCTACTGACAAAACGTCCTACCTGTATTATAATTTGACGGTGACTTGCGAATAAACCTACCCCTACCATAACCATAACCATAAGAAGTATCCTGGCTGGGTGAGAGAAAAAGAAGTTAATCGGCGTTGGTGTTGTGCATGCGCCGCGTCTGCGCAGAAACATTGGGATGTCTTTTCAGGTAGGATGGATTCCCACAACAGCGTCACTAACCATCATACAGGCGCTTCATCAACATCAACCCCGCCCCTATCGCCTCAGACCCTGTGTCAGGAGGCGGGGACTGAGGGCAGAAAGCATAAATCAGATTGGTCCTTAAACGCCTCGCTGCTGTGACATTGAAGAGCAAAAAATGTGTATATCAAGAGCAGAGTAACCTGATTACTTCTTATCCTTATTGCTGTGGACTACACGTTGAAGTCAAGTTGTCTTTATGTGCAGTGGAACCAGAGGTCAAAGGTCAGAGGTCTGTTTGCACACACACAGAAAACCTCTCTCTGATAGATCCTCCTTCTCCTTCATCTTCTTCTGCTGCAGCTTAAACTTCACTCCGCTCTCCACCTGTGGAGCTGGCTCTGACACGTGACTCAACGCGGAAGCGGAAACACAGCAGCGAAGTGGCAACAGCTGAGAAGCCCAGCAGAGATCGTCTATGAGGGCGACGCTCCGCTCAGAGTTTAAAGAGACCGGAAACGGCTCCGGAGTACGTGTTCACCGAGAGCTGCAGGAAGTGCAGCAATGAACAAACACATTAAAAACCGATCAGTGTTATTGATCACTGATAAATATCAGACAACAGTGAGAACTCTTAAAAAACATTTTTATTGACTGAAAACATTGCACACAAATTCTTTGTGGCCTTTTTAGGGTCATTTGTAGATTCTCACGGGTCTTTGCGAGTCTCTGAGTTGGTTTGTGATGTTATTTCAGTCAAAGCTCTGATATATTACCAACGAGCATTAAGACCAGGATTCTTTATTAAAGGCCTGGATCTTTTTGGTCATGCTGAGCTTCCTTGTTTAACGGTTTGTGTTATTTTGTGAGAGCTTGCGCATCATTTGTGTTGATATCTTTGCTAAAGTTGTATTATTTGGTAGAATTGGTTTTAAAGCCAGCTTTTATCGTGTCCGTGTGGCCACGCGGGCTCTTGCACTTTCAGTAGTTTCATTCGAGCGTGGTGCAGCTCCGGGTCTAGTTTTTCTCTCGGAGTGACACCTCTCGCCTCTTTCTTCAGAGCAGCTAACAGCGCGAGCTAATCCGGCTAACAGCTAACGGCTAGCTAGTGGCGCTATGATGGCGGAGCTGGTGCAGGGACAGGCCTCGATGAACCAGCCGGGGCTGAAGTCAGAGGGCCTGGCCGATGTTTTGCAGCGGGCCCGGCAGGTAACAACTCCACCCGGGCTCAGCCCACACCCGTTCCGGGCCGAATCGGGTCGTTTAGATCGAGCCAAAGCACTTTTATCGGAATTGTCCGTGTTTTGCTGCTGCTACTCGAACTTGTACCACACACACACACACACACACACAGTTACACTCACACACTCCGCAGCATGCTAACTAGCTAGAAGCAGCTCGGAGTTGGACTTGTGGCCGCTTGTGTAAACTTTTCCGGTGCTGACACGCTCCGGGAGAGAGTTTGGGGGGAGTTTGCCGAGCTGTCACCCGGAGGGGAGCGCGCTGGGACGGCGGAGGGGAGACGAGGGTGGGGGGGAGCGGGAGAGAAGTTTGGCCACACGTGTCACTCCGCCAGCGGGCAACCTGTTGGGCTGCGAGGGGCAGAAAGGACGCGGGTCATCGGGGTTACTGCGCCTTCTGCCCCCGTCGAGGGTCTCCTGCAGGCCGGGGGGTGTCTGTACCGAGTCCTAGCGGTTAATCGGGGAGCCGGGCCCCCTCCCCCCCCAGGCTGCTGTTTACTGTAAGTTGGTTAGAAAGTAGGCTGGCGTTACGCAACAGCCTGAGAGCCATATACAGGCAGGAGGTGTGTCTGCGCCTATAGACAGACAGGTTCACCCTCCTGTGTCTGCGTGCACCTCACTCTGCACTTCTGCCTGCGTGCACCACACCTAAGAGTCAGCCTCAGGTAAACAGACAAGTGAGCGTGCCCTTTAAATTGGCACCCTGACCTCTGAGTGCCACCCCAGCCAATCACAGCCTGCTCCCCCAGGACTGACTGAAGAACTCCTCCAGGCACCGGTAACTTTCACCTGAAGACCCGAGAGCTCACAAAGTCACAGCGAGTCTGTCCGGCAATAGTTTCCCTGTTAATGGGTCTGTTTTATTGGACCAGAAACAAGCCAGTGCCACAGGTGTGTTCCTCCAGGTGTCACTGCGGTGACCTCAGGTGTGAGGGGCACGCAGTCTGCAGGAAGTTGGATCATTTGTGTTTTACTTCCTGTTAGTGTGTTGTCTCTTAAACTCCCTTAACTCTCAGCCACACTCTGTCACACTGGGTAAAAACATCCGTCACTGCCCGCTAACACCTGGCCTGGGGCGACGCTTGGTGGGCGATGCAGACTAACCAGGCGCAGTCCTCAGTGTACAGAGTGCTCGGCTACTTCCTGGCAACCACCAGTTGCTAAGGAAAAATGTGTTGAGTGGTTGCTGCTTGTCATCGCGTAGAATTGGTCATGAAACGATGCTTTACCAAAAACCTCGGTGCGATTGCTTTGGTTACCAGCACGTTGATTCGATCGTCTGTAGTTTACATGCAGCCAACCTGTCTGCAAACTCTCACAAAGCGAAGTGTCTCAAACGGGAAATGTAGAACGCTCGTCTTCAAAGTAAAAGCTGTGCTTTTTGTTAGTGATAAAGGATGACTTTTACTTTGAAGGCAAACGTTCTACGTTTCCGGTTGGTGTCGCAGTGTATTTAGCGTTTTCCATCAGCCAGCTCGCTGATTTGATGGTGATTAGAATCCCCCCCCCCCCCCCCAAGTCTGGTCAAAGTTTAGCTCCACCCTGTTCCTCTGATGATGGTTTACACCAAGTGAACCTCCACTAAAGAAACTGCAACACCTCCAGCAGATGGTCAGGAATCGCACACTTCGCCTCTCATTTACTACGTAGGAAGTGATGTCACAGTGTTACCATACTGAACTGTGGAATCACTTCTTCTTTTTGAGTGCAAGTGCTGCTGCTGACCAATGAAATCATGCTCTGGAAATGTGTGCACTGGTGATGTTAGCTACGTTGTGCTAACTCACAACGTTTGTGTGTATGTGTGTCAGATGTGCAACAGATGTGTGAGACATTTAAAACGTGACTGGATTTTGAGGTTTGTGCCTTGATGTTTGTGCGGTCAGCGTTTAGCTCCCTCTCGGTTTTTCGGCAGCTGGACTCGTGGCTGCTCTCGTGTTTTCTCTTAATGAGTAAATTTGTTGATGTGTTCATCCTGAGAGCAGTCAGCAAGCTCTTATTTTGAAAAGTCAGTTGTCGTTAACCAGTTGTCCCTGGTCCTTACGACTAGGTCACGACAGTCCTTCATGTCATTAGCAGCTTCTCGTCCTTTTGTTGGAGGCTTCTCCTCCTTTGTGCCGCACTCCAGGTGTGATGGTAACCTTGGTTCTGTTCTTCACACCAGAACCTGCAGCAGGTGAAAAATGGTTCATGAGCAGAACTGGGACCATTTGGAGAATAACGTGGAGAAGAATGAGTGTTTGAGCTCAGGAGAGGCGGTGGGGGAGCCTCTCCTGAGTGTGGAAATCTCACCACTAATGTCAGTAGATTGGAATTATTTAAGTTTTGTTTTCTTTCTCAAAGTTTAAGGGCATAATCTTCGCTGTGTTGGCTGCTGAAAGACAAACAAATCTAGCTGCTGTTGATCTCCAGTGAGTGTAGGCTTTCAGCCTGCTGTGTACCTCAACTGTCCAGGTGTGTTTACTCTGGAGGCTATAACACTGTCTGAGAGTGCGATACGAGCTCACTTCTGTCCAATGACGCTGTTTCTAGCCTTTGTTTAGCCTCAGGTAGCTTCTGTTAGCTGCCGTCAGCCTCAGTTAGCTGCTGTTAGCCTCAGTTAGCCGCTGTTAGCCGCAGTTAGCGGCTGTTAGCCGCAGTTAGCTGCCGTTACCGAAACTGCCTTCGAAGTGACTATAAAATAGTGTGAGTTTGATGGCTGGTGAATAAAACCTCACACGATGTGAAATCACTGGGAAAGCATGATTCTTTAAAAAAAAATATTAGCGTAATGTTAGCAGTTGTTGATGTTTAGCTTGTTAGGTGTCAGTTGACCAGAGATGGGAGGGTCACATGTCTAATCTCCTGACAATAAGTTAGTGCAGCATTATCAGGAGTAAATGAGCACGTTTAGTGTTAGAGCCCTGACCACAGTTCAGCAGACGAGGCTTGAGCTGAGGAGGAAGAGGACGACGCCTCCGTCAGGTGTCGGGTCAGAAACCTTTGTTTAAAGTTTGCACGTTTCAGCTGAGAGTTTCAACGGATTATTTTCTTTACTAGCTGTCTGCGGCTCACATTTTACAGGTAATACTGTGAGGCTGTGGAGCACTGTGAACAGGTGTGAGCAGGTGCAGCAGACTGACTCCGCCCACTGGACTATTTTTACTGAGCAGCAGATTTTTCTTTAGTCTTTATCAGGAAAACACTCAAGGTTTCCTCTGTGTGCGTCTGTCTCTGTGTGTGTGTGTGTGTGTGTGTGTGTGTGTGTGTGTGTGTGTGTATTTAATAGTATTTGCAGTCTGCGTACCGTCAGTTCGTCCTCTGAAACAAACAGTTTTAGCTCCTCCCCCTAAATGGCACCTGAAGTCTCGATGTCATTCCCTGGTTTTTTGTGGCCTTCTTTATAGTTTGATGAACATTTTCTGGGTGTTTGTGGTAGAAGAACATCTATGCTGGACCCTGAAGAAGATGATGGACGTGTTGAGGAAGGTTTAGTCTCCCAGGTAGAGTTGTGACGTTTGAGCCTCACGCCTTTAAAACGGCTCCACCAAATCTTTGTTCTTCACACCAACTGTAAACTTTAATGAGCTGCAGCTCTGTTAGAAATATCTGCACCCAGTCAGTCGAGTGCGTCTGCAGCCAAACCGGGCGCCTTATTAGGAAGCCTCCTGGTTTAGGGAGTGAGGCTGAGCTGTGTCGGCCTCTGGAAACAGGCTGCATATGAAGACACGTCGGCCTGCGCTCGGGCGGCCGACCTGCTCTAAAGCAGAGGTGCTGTTGGACTTTCTGCTGACCTGGGACCAGTTTGGGGCCTAGTCTTTATCCTGCTGTGGTTTTGGACCTGTGTACTGTAAAAACTTTACTGTTCTAATTTTAGTATCGCTGTTAGTTTCCGGCCGCTCACGTGTGCCGAGCTGCGGTGAACAGATGCAGGTGTTACAGCTGTTTCTGCCATGTTCACAGATGGTGGGCAAGCTGGGCGGAGAAGGGATGTCTCACCTCAACAGCTCCTCAGTAAGTGTCGAGCCCTCGCTGTACTACCCGGGCCAGAAACGACCAGGAGAGGATGGAGGTAAGAGGCTCATACACCCGCACTGCACCCGTCAGACTGCTCAGTGACAGGACGGCCGTGACGTTCCAGCATTCAGCGAGTTCTTATGAAAACACTTTACAGGCCGTCTGTGGATGTAAGAAGGGAAACCTGCTGTAACTGCGGCCCGACTGAAGCTGCAGTGACGTCTTTTTATTTTGTTTAATAAACGACGGCGGGAGAATAGCGTGTCTGTGCTCCGACGTGTTCCCGTGTTTGCCGCACACGTCATGCCAGTTCGATTCTCGCTGTTCGCTCTGATGATCGGCGCCGTCACATCAGCCTGACGTCTAATCTCTGTCTCTGTCTCCCAGTAGGTAACCAGCTAGCAGCCATGGGGCATCAAAGGTACGACCCGCAGCTCGTATTGATCACACTCACACACACTCTCTGTGGTGTGTAATGATGCGTGTGCAGCTTCATATTCTTGTTTGCAAATCGACACGTGTGAGGTCGTGGAGGTGCACCTGTGTTATAGATCTGTCCTCCTGCAGTCTGCATCAGAATAATCACTTATTGACACACACACACACAGCCATGCGTGACCAGGATGCCGATGTGTGTGTTTCTGTGTGTGTTGCAGGGTAATCACAGAGGATTACAAGGTCCCTGACAGGATGGTGGGCTTCAGTGAGTATGACCTCTGACCTTTCGCTGGGCTCTCGAACCTTTACATAGAATATGCGTGTGAACCTGGAGCTGTTCCCCTGTACTGTGCTCTGCAGGCGTCCTGGTGTCTGTCTGTAGTCTCATTTCTAGCGACCAATCACATCTGAGCAGCCTGTGGCTGTGTGCAGGTAAACAGGGGGATGGTATTTGCATCGAAACCTTTCTCACAGAGACTAAATCCTCTCCTCAGCCAATGGGCTTCCAGTCTGATGGTAACCTGCTGTCTCGGCGTTTTTACTGAACCTTTCCTTTGACTCAGAACTGCGACGGTTCTGGTTTGTCTGGATGCAAACCCCATAAGTCAGACGTTAATGTCAGAACCAGAATGTGGGTCCGAGGCGCCGTTTGGCCTCAGAAGCCTCGAGCACATCAGCTGAGCCAAGTCTCATTTTCCTTCCCGGTACCTCAGAGGAAGCAGGCTGACGTCAGTGTGTTTGACCTGGAGTCACGGTCCTTTACTTACTGCATGTACAGAAGCAGCAGGTGGATGTTCCTCTAATTACGTCTGTCCTCCTCCACCTCAGTTATTGGCAGGGGAGGAGAACAGATCACCAGGATCCAGTTGGAGTCGGGCTGTAAGATCCAGATCGCTCCCGGTGAGTTCAGCGCTCCGTGTTTTTATGTTTCCTCGGACCACGGAGAGTCCAAACTTCTCCGTGGTCCCTTTGAATTAAACGGCCTGACGACTTACCTGACGCATGCGTGTTTCTGCAGAAGGCGGGGGTCTGATGGAGCGGCCGTGTTCTCTGACGGGGACTCCGGAGAGCATCGAGTGAGTTAGTGAAGCTGGAGCTGGCGGAGCTGCAGGTGAAGTGACGCTCCCGCTAAACTCTGTCACGTCTGGCTGTTTTCAGGCAGGCGAAGCGGCTGCTGGCCCAGATCGTGGACCGCTGCAGAAACGGTCCGGGTTTCCATGGCGATGGAGAGGGCGGGGCCTCGGTGCAGGAAATGCTGATCCCAGCCAGCAAGGTGGGGCTGGTGATTGGCCGAGGAGGAGACACCATCAAACAGCTGCAGGTAGATTCACGTCACAGGTTCAGATCAACGGGGGGGCTCTCGCTCAAGGAAGTGATGTCACTGCGAGAGGTGAAATGAATATGACAGCTGACATGGTTCCGCTCACTGTTGGGTCTGCAGACAGACATGTTTCCAAGTCTTTGAACTTTAGATAAACAAGTTTAGTGTTTCTTTTACATAATTATAATCATTTAATGACTCAGAGTTCTTTGTAGTTATTTTATGGTAAATGGCCTGTATTTGTATAGCGCTTTTACTTGGTCCTAAGGACCCCAAAGCGCTTTACACATTCACACAATCATTCACACACTGGTGATGGCAGCTACATTGTAGCCACAGCCACCCTGGGGTGCACTGACAGAGGCGAGGCTGCCGGACACTGGCGCCACCGGGCCCTCTGACCACCACCAGTAGGCAGCGGGTGAAGTGTCTTGCCCAAGGACACAATGACCGAGACTGTTGGAGCCGGGGCTCGAACCGGCAACCTTCTGATTACAAGGCGAACTCCCAACTCTTGAGCCACGATCAGATCGTTTTCACTTTCGTAACCCTGCTGAGGAGAGTTCTGTGCTGGCTGGTGGAGTGTGTACGTCCTGTTTAGAGCGTTCGCCATGAAATCAGGTGTTTTCCTTTTATAGAACAAATCGTGACGATCGTGAAGCAGGAACGTTTGTAGGGTCAGGACTGAGGTGCCGATTGAATAACAGGGTTTCAAATAGCAGGAAATGTTAGTGATGTTAACTGCTCTGGTTTTCAGGAGCGAGCTGGAGTGAAGATGATGATGATCCAGGATGGCCCGATGCCAACGGGGGCCGACAAACCCCTGCGCATCTCCGGAGACCCGTACAAAGTGCAGGTACGCCGGCGAGTACTGTCCAGGAGTAATCGTTCTGCAGGACGATAACTGTGACGCAGACTGCTGATTTATTACTGAGCGTCAGTGAAGCGGGAGCCGTCAAAGGACGAGCTGAGGACACCTGGAGCCACGTACAGCAGCTGCGTCCTAATGAAATGAGACCATGTGACTATCTGCAGCTTATTAATACAGGGAAACTGACCAGTTACAATCATCTAAAAAACATCCTGATCTGATTCTTTTCACTACAGATTTGCTGTAAAGTGTTTAGTGAGGAAAGATTTACCGCTGAATCCACAAAGTTTGAGGACATCCTGTAACAGGATTTGTCAGTGGAACCTACGGGCGGATTCAGGGCTCTGATTTGTTGGATCTGTTGTGGGTTCCTCCGAGGTCCTGGGCTGGTTCGGTTTAGATGATCCTTAAAAGATTTTGGCTTTCAATGACAAAAGGTTACTGATCGAATTGGAGACTTGAGGTCAAGCAGAAAGTTGGTAAATATTTCGATGCTTTTTAGTTCCATCCTTTGAGGCGGGGCTAATCCCGGGCCGTTTCCTCCTGCAGGCAGCGAGGGAGCTGGTGTTGGAGGTGATCCGGGAGAAGGACGGAGACTTCAGATCGGGTCGCAGTGACTTCGGCGCCCGACTGGGAGGAACCAGCCTGGATGTATGACTTGGGCAAACAAGCGTTCCTGGGATGGTTGTGTTTAGACGCCGTGCTGATCTCTCCGTCTGTCCTCAGGTTCCCGTTCCCAGGTTTGCTGTCGGCATTGTGATTGGCAGAAATGGAGAAATGATCAAAAAGATCCAGAACGATGCAGGGGTCCGGATCCAGTTTAAAGCAGGTGTGTCATGCTTTGGCTCATTACGTGCTGAATCTTTCTGAATGTGAGCTTCGAGTCCGCTTCGTTCTGCAGCTCCTATCATCACATCATCCATGAACACCAGTGAGCGGCTTCCACCATGATGTGGACGCGTCAGCTGCTTCTCTGCACTTTCCTGCTTCATCATCTTCAGTGCCGTTATTGTGAACGTCATCCTGGTTTCATCTCTGTCATATTTAAAGCTGTTAGTTTGTCCGGCTGCTTTTGGAGGAACAAACGCTCAGATTGACTTGACACACTGCCTTTCTTCTGACTAGCATTAGCTTACTAGTTGACTTCTTGATGGCTACCGTAGCAGCTAGCTGGGAACCGTTAGCTTGCTCTTTAACTTTGTCCCCATTTAATCCTCTGAGGCGACGTTTTTCTTTGCAGGTAAGCTAGCTAGCATTAGCAGAGAGACAGCTCAGGCTGGTTAGTCTGATTTTGTGTTCACACCAGTTTAATCCACAGTTCAACTGGTCAGTGTGAGTTAATCATTTTATTACAGTGCTTGTTTACACAAGTGTAGAAACAGATAAGCAACGGACTTTCTGTTCACACTGCTGAGGATTTGACCTCTGACCTTTTAGATGATGGTGTCAGTCTAGAACGTGTCGCCATGGTGATGGGTCAGCCGGACCGCTGTCAGCATGCTGTCCACCTCATCAATGAACTCATCCAAACAGCACAGGTAAACACACACACACGTTGGTTTTTCTTCTGAGCGGGGACCTTTGTTTATGTTCTGCTTCATGGGTCCTTTTACATGTTGCTGTTTTCACAGGAACGTGATGGTTTCGGTTCAGCCTTGCGGGGCGGGCGGGTCAGAGGTCGTGGTGATTGGACTATGGGCTCTCCAGGCCCCCTACAGGAAGTGACATACACCATCCCTGCTGACAAATGTGGCTTGGTCATTGGCAAAGGTAGGAAACTGAGTCTGCTTAGTCTGGTTAGAAAACTGAAGGTGAGGAAGACGTTCACACTGCTGTCGTTTGTGTTTACCAATGTGTTTACATTAATGCAAAGGTCAAGGTTCAAACGGGTGCCTGAAAACCTTGAATATGCTTGGATTTCAATGTTGTCTGTTCAAGGTTTGAAATGTGCGCCCTGCATGACCGCACTAACATGCTGCAGGTTTTAATGACAAATACAAATCATGGCTCAGATAACAAGGGAGCAATCCGCCTGAAACGCCTGCAAACAGGATTTGCACCTTTTCACACTGGGGCAGTTTGTGTAAGTCCGAGTGAATCATTTTCCACATTGTGTGCGTTACTCAAGCTAATCATAACAATTATTATTACTATTTTTGTAGCTAGCAAACTCGTGAGATGGATGATTGACATGCACTGAGTGTGATGCCATACAGCAGCGCCAGTATAGCAGTTAGTTACGGTGATTTATGGAACATGCTGTGAACTCAGACTGAATACGGTTGTTTTCCCCCTGAACAGAATAATAATAGAGCGTGTCTCGTTTTTAAACACAATCTAAAGATCACAGCAATCTGAGGAAGTTTCACTTTAATCCACGTGAACGAGGTTGCGTTAGCTCATTGCAGCAGAAACTGCGCGACGTGGATTGGATGAGTAACATGATAATGATCTTATAATCCTGTCACTGTGCGTCTTATTTTGGTGTTTTGGTCCTGAGTGTTTGTGCTGTGAGCAGACGTCCTGCAAACATCAGTGAGACACATTTTAACCCCACAGTACCAACAACAGGCGGCGCAGCCTCATTGACTCTATTTAAAAACCTCTTACAGCCCATCAACCTGTGTGTGTGTGAGAGAGTTGGAGGTCAAGAGGGTCGAGCAGCAGCCTCCAAATTAAAAGCCACAAAGAAGAAAATGTCAAGTGCAGCGTGTTTAGACACCATATGGCCTGTTTGCGCGCACACACACACACACACACACACACACACACACACACACTCTTACTTTGCACCACTTTAGAGGACCCCGTGTTCGTTTCCTCTGATGAATTCTTCGTGCTGACAGTCCCCCCACACATTCAGACCTGCTAGTTGTGAGGAGCAGCCAATCACAGAGGTGGAGGATGAAGTGAGGGGCTGCGCCGGCCCTGATGATGAGTTATTAATGCAAAACTACTGAAACAGAATCCAAGAATGAAACAAAAGAAGAGGTGACCTTTAACCTCTAATTATCAGGGTTATACTCGGGGTCAGACTCAGAGCTGATCAGATCTAGCAGGCTCCACTGTGTTCATGTGGAAATGAGGTTCAGTATGGAGGTTGGCCCCGCCCCTCCCCGAGCCTGGTTCTGCTGGAGGTTTCTTCCTGTTAAAAGGGAGTTTTTCCTTCCCACTGTCGCCAAAGTGCTGCTCATAGGGGGTCATATGATTGTTGGGTTTCTTTGTATTATTGTAGGCTTCAGACTGACAGCAGCAGCTCTGAGTCGACACATGTCCTCCTCCTGGTCTCTGCCAGCAGGTTCGTGTTTCCTGTCCTCATCTTGACCGTCCTGCTGGGACCAGCTGTACCTGTGAAGCCCCCCAGGCTCCGCGGCTAATTACACAAACTGAAATTTAATTTAATAATTTTCCCAGAATTAAGCAAATCAGATAAAATCCTCAAGTCAGGTTTAAAGTTAAAGTCGAGGTTTTCAACTTCCATTTATTTAAACTAGAGCTGGGCGATTTTTTTTCATATCACGATATGTTTTTTAATTTCAGGCGATAACGATATCTATCACGATATCAGCCAAATAACTATATTTGTAAGATTTAAATGTGCCGTTGCTCACAAGTAAAATGTGAAATAATCAGCAGCTTGTTTTGATTTAAATATTTATTTCCCATAATAAGTTCAACAGGGTAGATGTGCTTAAGGAACACGAGACTTTTTCAGATAAATAAAGGCAAATATTGCAAACTACACAAAAGGCAGCGTTTAAGTTTCAAAACAGAACAAACGAAACAGACTAAATTGTCAATTCCACTTAGAAACAAAATATTAATTCTAAAAATAAATCTTAGTTTGTTTTACAGAAGAACAGACGAAACTGACTAACTTTTGTCAATATCAAATAAACTGAGAACTAAAAGGAAATTCTCGATCTCTCCTTGTTGTATAGCTGAGCTTTTCAAACAGTTGTAACAGTTACGTTAGTCTGACAAAAGCCGAATGATGAATCAGCGCTTCCAGTCAGAGACTGAGCTGCACCGCTTTATTGTATTTCCAGACTTGCTTTCGGCACATTTACAGTGCAGCTGCTCTGTTTTTGTCAGACTTGAAATAGCAGAAATACCTTCACACTACGGAGCTTCTGTGGCTCTTCCGTTCGACAATCTCTCCGGCGTTGGAACCATCGTCTGTTTTCTCCTCGGTAACCTTCGGTCGCGCTCTCGGCACACTCATTTCCTCCGTTACCCGGCGGCACGGCGGCTGGCTGCTTCCCAAACAAATACACATGTGCGGCTTGGCACTTGTGCTTTACGCAACAAGTCACGTGACGTGACGCTGCGGCTGTGATTGGTTCGGCTCTGCGCTACTTAATTTGGATTGGCTGTTTTTTTTTTTAAGAGGACGAGCGGTGAGGCCTATCACAATAGTTTAATTTTTCTATCGAGCAAAAGTTATTTCACAATACATATCGTTATCGTTCTATCGCCCAGCTCTAATATAAAGTCACATAGACCGACATGTCCAAGAGTGCTAAGCTAACCCAGCCATCGAGGTCATCCCCTGATTCCATGCAGCATCCTGCAACATGATTTTACTTTGAGTGTAAACACATTAAAATCCCACCGATGAATGAAGCACGTCTGTTTGTCAGAAACAGCAAAGAACAACAGGGTCTACTCTTTTCTACTCTGAGCGCTTCTGAGCGTCTGTCGGACGCTCCCAACATCTTCATCCGATGGTTTCCACCTGAGCTTTGTCGCGTTTTCCCAGCAGTGACACCACTGAGCCCTGCTGAAGGACTCACCACCTCTGCACAGTCCTGCTGACCCGGGGCCGCCCCCGGCGCTCATATTGATCAGCTGTGTGAATGACACCTGCTGTTTGTGTCTGCAGGTGGAGAAACCATCAAGAGCATTAACCAGCAGTCTGGAGCTCACGTGGAGCTGCAGAGGAACCCCCCACCCTCCACTGACCCCAACACCCGGGTCTTTACCATCAGAGGCACCGCCCAGCAGATGGACCTGGCTCGCCAGCTAATAGATGACAAGATCGGGGTATGTAAAACAAGCGCACCTCTGTAGATGCTTTATCTCGAAGAACGAGCGCTGACCTGCGTCTCCTCCCACAGGGTTCGGGTATCATGAGTAACGGAGGGTTCGGCTTCAGCCCCTTCACCCAGGGTCCCGCTGCACACCAGAAGTAAGAGTCCTCAGATCTTAGCGCACGCTGCCGTCACACAGCACATACGTCCGTGATCCACGTCCCTCAGAAGCAGGAAGGACGCTGCACCCACGGAGCGAGTCCAGTCCATGAGTGGGCGGGGCTGCTTTGGTGTTCTTCTACAGCGGGGGTGGGGAAGTCCAGGCCTGCAGCTTTTAGATGATCGCAGCTGATTTAAAGGAGCTCCTCAGGCCTGGAGTTCCCCACCCCCGCTCTGAGTCTGAACATCCTGTTGTAATGATAGCCAGCTGCGCTCTGATTGGCTGACTGTTTAAAGGCATTGCTAACTTCACTGCAGGTAAATGTGATACCTAACAGGTAGTTTCAGGTAACCATGGAAACTAGGGCTGGGTATCGTCACTGATTTCTGGAATCGATTCGATTTGAATCAGGGAAATTTTGCCTCAGACAGTCAGAAATATTATAACTCTGATCACTTATCAGTGCGTATCTATATTTTTATATCTATAAAACAAAGCTGACACTGTGGAGGGGAGGGAGGGGGGGAGAGCTGTGCATGAAGTGAGATCGTGGTCGAAGCAAAACAGCAAAACTCAGAGTGAGTTCATGACGGTGTTTATGTGGAGCGTAGTTTGGATCAGGTTCAGAGATAAACTAACAGCTTCAGAAACGGCGCAAAAAGGGCGTGAACACAAAGCTCGACCCGCCGAAACGTCCGAGTCAGCGAGCTGTCGGCTTTCAGCCCCGAGCGTGTCCGTGCCGTCGGTGAGAAAGTCACAGCTCGCTGACTCTGATGCGTCGGCGCTGTGTGTTCACGTCTCTGTGCAGAGTCGTGCTCCTGCTCTCAGTTACTGTTTCAGCTGTTTGGTGGTTGTTGAAATGTTGTGAGGCTGAACCTGAGATTCTGGCGTTTCAGCCAAAATAAATTTATATTAAAAAATCGATTCAGGATTTTAATGAATCGATTTCACGCCATCCAAGCCAGAGTCGATTCTAATCGATGATCAAAACCCTAATGACGTGACGTTCTCTAAACGAGCAGTTCCACGCTCTGCCTCAGGGGGAGTGAGGGCGGAGGCCATGTTTGCTGTGGGCGTGCTCCGTGATGGCGCCGTGTGATGACGGTTCATGGAGAAGTTCAAGAGCTACGAGTGTGACCTGTTTTCCTGTGGTCACGATGAAAACCTTCGCGGTCCACACACGTGACGTTTCCACCTCCAACACGACCACGGCAGCGCCGCAGGCCCGTGTAAGTCTGAGGCAGCTGTGGGCGTGGCTGTGGGCGCTCCGCCACATCAGCTGATTCGTTTAACTGTCCTCTGCATTCTGTCGCGTTCGTTTGTCTAACGGCCTCATGCTGAGACGCTGATGATGATGGACACGTGTGTGTGTGTGTGTGTGTGTGTGTGTGTGTCTTTGACTCAGCCAGCTGTGTGTTAAACACATGTTTTTATGCAGCTGTGGGAGTGGGCAGACCTTCCTGACCGGCGTCTGGGGAAACACCTACCAGACCAGCTGGCAGAACCCAGGACAGCAAGACCCAGGTACCACACAC